GTTTTTCTACGTTTTTTATACGTTTTTTAAATGTATTATTTCCGTATACTTTCCTTATACTGATTATTTATAGGGAATTCATTTCCGAATTTTAGCTTATTATAGGATAAAATGGAACTTTATATACCTCCAAAAGGACTTACTTTTAGACTTCAAATTATCAAACCAACTAGACCATTTATTCTAGATTTTTTCCAGAACCTCAATTTTATCATTACTTAATCAATGATAAATGAGGATCAATATTGGTCATTGATTTCAGGAACAGGAAAACATTCTGGCTATTTTAGAATTGAAAATAATTATTCTAAATTATTCATCTTTTCTAGATTCTCTAATGAACCACAATTTTATCATGATTCAGGCAATAATGAATATGATGATCAATATTGGATCTTAATTCCAGGAACAGAAAAACATTTTGGTTATTTTAGAATTCAAAATTATGTTACCAAATGGGAACTGATTTATTAAAAGTGGATTACGAAATATAGTAAATTATATAATCCATACCTCAATTTTAATAGAATACTACCCAAATGGTCTATTTTTTCTAGATTTTCTCAAGAACCAAAATTTTATCATAATCCAAGTGATGATAAATGTGATAATCAATACTGGAATTTTATATTTGAAAATATGATTGTTGAAAGTATAAATTATCAAATTGATAAAGGAATAATTACAAATATAACATCTGTTATACTTATGAAACAAATTTTTTTAAATAATACTGATTTAGAACAAAAATTTAATTTTAAGATGGATAAAAATGAAGTTCATAAATCAATTTTTGAATATTCATCTGAATTTATTATAAAAGTAGGAATAGAATTTCAAGCTGAAATTCCAAGTATAGGAGAAAATGGAATTAATATTGAAGTTAATGATAAGATTTGGATTTTTGGTAAATCTATAAAATCAAAAAAAACATATATAGCAGACTTTCCTATTAAAGTTCTTTAAAGAACAAAAATAATTGCTAAAGCAACAATTAATAGAATAACATTAAGTGTACCTTTTGTTATACATTTTAAATCAAAAAAAATAGGAATTAAAGTATATACTAATGGTATTTATTTAGGTACAATAACTTGAGATTTAACATATTCCTTAAATATTGAATACTTAAATGATCTTTATCAATAAATAATAATTAAATATTTATATATTATTAGTAACTTTATTATATCTAATATTAGTATAATTTTATTTATTATTTTTAAATATTTAATTAAAAGTTTGAATATCAATTTTTAATTATAAAGAATATTATTTTTATTATTAAATTTTAAATTATTTGTTTAAATATTCAGATTTTTACATAAATATATAAATAATTTTTATATTATATTATTATTTTAACCTATACTTTTATATTTGATGTTCTGAATTGTTATATGGGAACGTTTCCAGTAAAATCAAGTCATGAGACATAGTAAATCATATGATCCGTAATGTGATTTTACTGGAAACGCTCCCATATGTCAAATGTTAAAATAAGATTATTAGATAAAATCTAGGGTTTAGTCAGATGTCTAGATAATAAAGATAAAATTTGATTAAATTATATTAAAACTTTATTAAAAAATTCAAAAAAAAAGTAAAACTATATCAAAGCTTATAAAAATAGCAAAACTATATCAAATACTTAGTAAAAATTTAGTAAAACTAAAGATTTAAGCATTTAGCTAAATCCAAAATGAGTTTATATAAGTAACTTTAGTTATATATGATAAAAATTTTCAATAAATTGAATTTTTTATTGATTAAAATATATAAATCTATTTTATATAATATATAAGTATCTATTTATAAAATATTAGATTAATAATTAATACTATATAATAAAAAATCTATATATATTATATCATGATATAATATAATCTTTTAGTAAATATTTAATGTACTTTATCTTTTAAAATTTATAGATTATCCCTTAGATTGTAGGATTTCGTAAGCAAATTTGTCTGCTTATTTACTATAAATTCTCTTCTGATTTACTTTTATAAATAATTAATATTTTTAAAAATTTTTTTTTTAATATATTATAATAAGTTTTATTTGTAATTATATAATAAAAAATTTAATACTTAGAAGCTAAAAATTTGTAATTTTTAAAAAAAATTTATTTTAAAAAAATTTCATGATTAATCTATGATAAACTTTTTAGAATTTACTTTTAACTATATTAATCATAATAGAATATTATA